TAAACCTCCCTGTAGTACTCTGTGTTAGGTACAGAGATAAATCCCCAGTTAAACCTCCCTGTAGTACTCTGTGTTAGGTTCAGAGATAAATCCATGTTGAACCTCCTTGTAGTATTCTGTGTTAGGTACAGAGATAAATCCCCAGTTAAACCTCCCTGTAGTACTCTGTGTTAGGTACAGAGATAAATCCCCAGTTAAACCTACCTGTAGTACTCTGTGTTAGGTTCAGAGATAAATCCCCAGTTAAACCTCCCTGTAGTACTCTGTGTTAGGTTCAGAGATAAATCCCATATTGAACCTACCTGTAGTATTCTGTGTTAGGTACAGAGATAAATCCCCAGTTAAACCTCCCTGTAATACTCTGTGTTAGGTACAGAGATAAATCCCCAGTTAAACCTCCCTGTAGTACTCTGTGTTAGGTACAGAGATAAATCCCCAGTTAAACCTCCCTGTAGTACTCTGTGTTAGGTACAGAGATAAATCCCCAGTTAAACCTCCCTTCAATACTCTGTGTTAGGTACAGAGATAAATCCCATGTTGAACCTCCCTGTAGTACTCTGTGTTAGGTACAGAGATAAATCCCCAGTTGAACCTACCTGTAGCATTCTGTGTTAGGTACAGAGATAAATCCCCAGTTAAACCTCCCTGTAGTACTCTGTGTTAGGTACAGAGATAAATCCCCAGTTAAACCTCCCTGTAGTATTCTGTGTTAGGTACAGAGATAAATCCCCAGTTAAACCTCCCTGTAGTATTCTGTGTTAGGTACAGAGATAAATCCCATGTTGAACCTACCTGTAGTATTCTGTGTTAGGTTCAGAGATAAATCCCATGTTGAACCTACCTGTAGTATTCTGTGTTAGGTACAGAGATAAATCCCCAGTTAAACGTCCTTGTAGTGTTCTGTGTTAGGTTCAGAGATAAATCCCCAGTTAAACCTCCCTGTAATACTCTGTGTTAGGTACAGAGATAAATCCCCAGTTAAACGTCCCTGTAGTATTCTGTAGTATTCTATGTTAGGTACAGAGATAAATCCCCAGTTAAACCTCCCTGTAATACTCTATGTTAGGTACAGAGATAAATCCCCAGTTAAACCTCCCTGTAGTACTCTGTGTTAGGTACAGAGATAAATCCCCAGTTAAACCTCCCTGTAGTACTCTGTGTTAGGTACAGAGATAAATCCCCAGTTAAACCTCCCTGTAGTACTCTGTGTTAGGTTCAGAGATAAATCCCCAGTTAAACCTCCCTGTAATACTCTGTGTTAGGTACAGAGATAAATCCCCAGTTAAACCTCCCTGTAGTACTCTGTGTTAGGTTCAGAGATAAATCCCCAGTTAAACCTCCCTGTAGTACTCTGTGTTAGGTACAGAGATAAATCCCCAGTTAAACCTCCCTGTAGTATTCTGTGTTAGGTTCAGAGATAAATCCCCAGTTAAACCTCCCTGTAGTACTCTGTGTTAGGTACAGAGATAAATCCCCAGTTAAACCTCCCTGTAGTACTCTGTGTTAGGTTCAGAGATAAATCCATGTTGAACCTCCTTGTAGTATTCTGTGTTAGGTACAGAGATAAATCCCCAGTTAAACCTCCCTGTAGTACTCTGTGTTAGGTACAGAGATAAATCCCCAGTTAAACCTACCTGTAGTACTCTGTGTTAGGTTCAGAGATAAATCCCCAGTTAAACCTCCCTGTAGTACTCTGTGTTAGGTTCAGAGATAAATCCCATATTGAACCTACCTGTAGTATTCTGTGTTAGGTACAGAGATAAATCCCCAGTTAAACCTCCCTGTAATACTCTGTGTTAGGTACAGAGATAAATCCCCAGTTAAACCTCCCTGTAGTACTCTGTGTTAGGTACAGAGATAAATCCCCAGTTAAACCTCCCTGTAGTACTCTGTGTTAGGTACAGAGATAAATCCCCAGTTAAACCTCCCTTCAATACTCTGTGTTAGGTACAGAGATAAATCCCATGTTGAACCTCCCTGTAGTACTCTGTGTTAGGTACAGAGATAAATCCCCAGTTGAACCTACCTGTAGCATTCTGTGTTAGGTACAGAGATAAATCCCCAGTTAAACCTCCCTGTAGTACTCTGTGTTAGGTACAGAGATAAATCCCCAGTTAAACCTCCCTGTAGTATTCTGTGTTAGGTACAGAGATAAATCCCCAGTTAAACCTCCCTGTAGTACTCTGTGTTAGGTACAGAGATAAATCCCCAGTTAAACCTCCCTGTAATACTCTGTGTTAGGTACAGAGATAAATCCCCAGTTAAACATACCTGTAGTACGGTACTCTGTGTTAGGTGTAGGTATTATCATGTTAGTTACATTTACTGATAGCTAATCATGAAGTAACATTTCTTATTGTTGTGAAAGCACAAGGAAAATGCACAATCCTGTTGAGATCAGGAATCAAACTCAGATCTCTGGCATATTAATTTACCAGCTCTACCAACTGAACAGTGTGGTTCATAAGCTGAGTGACAGAGTATATATTTAACACTATGTATAAGTCACATTAACCTTCTCTTTTTATACCTGATATATGGTTACTTTTAGTACTGTGTGTAGTCCCTATACTTTACGTACTGTTTGTTAAACTGATAGGCTGACTTAATAGTTTCTCTCTCAATGATAAGTAACTTATTATTAACTTACCTATAACAATATGCTGGGATGCTTCCTCCAAGGGCCTGTCACAAAGAAATGTCACCAGACTTTTCCTGTATCAGATACTGTCAATGTAATAGAGAGCTCTGGTTTGTAGCATATAGCTTTGTCCGCAATGTTATTTTGGTTAGCTATCACAGAGATCAGTTGAGATTTTCCGGGAATGGTTTCCCTGTCATTGTACCATATTAGATCACATCATCTTTTGGGCATACTGATAAATCCTTGATTGTCGAAACAAAATGTCACTTTTCCATTAATCCGTCTAAAATGCTCCAGTCTGTATTTTAAAGAGATAATTTGATTTGATAGTTTTGGTGTGTCTTCATCGGTCAGTTTTCCTGTGTCCCGGTCAGTCTTGGCATGTCTTGGACAGTCCTAGTGTATTCCAGTCAGTCTTGATGTGTTTCGGTCAGTATGATCTTCTGCTCCAATTACCAATAATGTCCCTGAATGCCTTCAGAATTCCTGGAGATATTTTCACTCTCTCACAATGACAGCTAATCACAATAGACAGACAGACCGGCTAATGATGGTCATTCTCACAGAGATTGGCGCATGGACTGCACCTGAGATCATGTGGCGTACTCGTGACGAAGATTCATTACAGATGGTGTTATTGACATAATGTGTTGATGTTTTGTGTGAAAACAGTATGGAAAATGACCACAGTTCTAATGCTTTGTTTTGTAATGATCCATCAATATATAACTATACCCACAGCTGTTTAGAATGCTGTCAATTCAATCAATAAACCATATTCCAATGTAGTTACTATTTACTAAATGAGAAATTGACAAAGGTGCGAGTCCCAAGGGATCCAGCAAGTGGTTGTCAGGGTTTGGGCGGTGAGGGAAGAACCAATCAGATATTACTTTCACTTGGCGGCTGTACCTGTGGAAGTAGACACACTGGTGTGGTGTTGTGTTATAGAATGTAGATGGATTGGAGACGAAGGCAGGGCAGGAAAATCTGTCTCATTTATCACATCTAGTAATGGCTTTCGGTCACATCATTGCCGGAAACATCCGATTTTGTCAAAGAGGAGACATATTACCACCTCAGCCTTGGAAACTAATATAAAACTGCAAAAATTATAATTTTGCTCTTCAATTGATGTTAATAAATCTTGTGACAGATCTATTCAAGATAGCAGTGCATGAAACCATAATCTTACTGAGAGTACAGGCTTAGACATCTTAAAATAAAAAAGTCTCTGCTGATAAAATATTTTGTTTGCAGTTTGACAAGATATCCTTGTGAAACACTTGGTGTCACCTTATATGTTATTATGAGATGGTTCACCTCTGTGACATTACTATTCTTATACTAAGGGGTTAGGGGGTGACAGAGAGTTTAAAGATGATGTTTGGCTTACTGTGGCTTTATGTCTTACTAACAGCCCAGCCATTCAAGGTTATGCCATGTTTGGATGCTTGAGGAAAGCTTGAGAAAAAAAAAAAAACATACTGACCTGTGGCAAGTACTTATCGACAGCTCCACGTAGGTCTCAAAACCACAACCAATAGAGAGCTTCTCAATAAAATTCAAAAGACATCATAAGTATGGTTGTTCTCAATAATTTATTACTTTGCGAAATTTGCAGAATTTCAGTATGTGAGAGTTCCTGGGGCGTATATAGACCAAATATTACTAGTCCTACAGCAGTAGAATTTCAGTATGTGAGAGTTCCTGGGGCGTATATAGACTAAATATTACTAGTCCTACAGCAGTAGAATTTCAGTATGTTAGAGTTCCTGGGGCGTATATAGACTAAATTTCAGTATGTTAAAGTTCCTGGGGCGTGTATAATCTAAATATTACTGGTCCTACAGCAGTAAAATTTCAGTATGTGAGAGTTACTGGGGCGTGTATAATCTAAATATTACTAGTCCTACAGCAGTAAAATTTCAGTTTGTGAGAGTTCCTGGGGCGTATATAGGCGAAATATTACTAGTCCTACAGCAGTAGAATTTCAGTTTGTGAGAGTTCCTGGGGCGTATATAGACCAAATATTACTAGTCCTACAGCAGTAGAATTTCAGTTTGTGAGAGTTCCTGGGGCATATATAGACCAAATATTACTAGTCCTACAGCAGTAGAATTTCAGTTTGTGAGAGTTCCTGGGGCATATATAGACCAAATATTACTAGTCCTACAGCAGTAGAATTTCAGTATGTTAAAGTTCCTGGGGCGTGTATAATCTAAATATTACTGGTCCTACAGCAGTAAAATTTCAGTATGTTAGAGTTCCTGGGGCGTATATAGACTAAATATTACTGGTCCTACAGCAGTAGAATTTCAGTATGTGAGAGTCCTGGTATTGTATAGAAATAATGTTAATTTCTACAGCAGTATACTTTCAGTATGTGGGTGTTTCTTAAGCTGTATACAAGAGCATTTACGACACAATGTGTCCATGCTATGTAGAGGCTGATTATTTCAGCAATGGAATCCTCTTTAGACAGGAAGGAAATGACAAGGAAAGGTATGTACAGCATTGCAAATGTTGTCAATATCAGAATGACTGAGATGACCAAATGTAGCTCTTGCTTATAACGCCGGATAGTAGTGGACATTTCAATAGATTGCTGATTGCTACGACTAGCGTTCACTTTAAACCTGCTGGTCCAGACTTTGTAGATCATGCCGATGTAGCAGACGGTCAGCAATGGCAGACTCACACCTCCAGTAAACAGGATCAGGAAGCTGCCAAACGAATCCTTATTGAAGGGGTGACAGAAAAACCTGTAAGGGTCATACTTAAACTCGCCCCATACCTCCAAGGCAGGGAATATTAGGATAACAGGGTAGATACTCCAGGACATGACAAGCATTATTGCTAGGTTGCATCTACGTTTGTATATTTGTTCGTACTTGTCAAAGTGAACCACAAGTATGTATCGATTCATCGAAACTAAAATGAGGCCAATCACCTCCGTTCCAACAATACAATATGTGAGGAAACCCATGATTTTACAGACGGTGTTATCTACAGGTTCGGACACCATGGAATGGGTAAACGATAGGTAGGAGATGTAAGGCAGTGTAAACACACATGGAATCAGATTCAGAACAATCAGATTCAACACCAATAACATGGCCGCTTCTCGGTGCAAGCGTGTCTTTATGATGGCCAAGATGGTGCTGATGTTTGTGATGCAACCGAGACAAGCTATTGTTGTTGCTATGACATTATGGAGAAGTTTGGTTTCCACGGAAACGTACTCCAATCCTGTGATGTTAGCAGCAGTCATTGGTCCTTGTAGCTGTTATTGTCCAATTACGTTTATGTATTGCAGGGTGATTTTTATAATGCACTATCTACGCACAGAAGGTATAATAAAATCTCACACTGATTATATCACAAATCGAGTAAAACTGCACAGATTTCTTTCTTAATGTCAACTTTCAAAGGTCAGACAAATATATCACAACCATGGAAAGTATTATCATGTGTCTTGGTTTAAGGTTACTAGGTTGATTAATCTTAACATCTTGATGCTGTTTTCCCTTGTTAATCTTAATGCAGGTAAATGGGATTAGGATTTTTTCCTCTACCAGGTACCTTGATGTTGTTGCCTGTTAGAGACTGCTATTCTGTTGTCAGTATTATACTATTTCATCTCAATAAATCACATTATGTTATTCCATCATGTCATGGAATAGTCTTAATTCATCATGTCACAATATTATCTTCTGTCTCATCATAAGATTATTGGAATCCATCACATCATGATAATCACGAACACATCTTAATCCATCACATCATGAACACATCTTAATCCATTGCATCATGAACACATCTTAATCCATTGCATCATGAACACATCTTAATCCATCGCATCATGAACACATCTTAATCCATCACATCATGAACACATCTTAATCCATTGCATCATGAACACATCTTAATCCATTGCATCATGAACACATCTTAACCCATCGCATTACAAGTCATTTAAATAAATCTCATTAAATTTCAAATTTTCATCTTAATCCATCCCATCATGATATTATCTTAATCCATTTCATCATGAAGACATCTTAATTCACTGGCCCACGGAGAGGAAAAGGACACACAGGGAACACAGTTTGTATCCTCTGATATCAATTGTCTTCTGACTTTGGTTTGAAGTTTTCAGAACTCATTCGTGTCCAATTATTCGCAAAAATAAATCAGTCAAATTTGTGTGATCTGGAAAAAAAAACAGATATCATCAGCGCTGAGAGTAATTGTTTACATGTTCATACAGAAGAAATAGTTGAGGAAATACGTCTAGAACAAATTTGACCAATTCTTTTAATTTCTCAATAGTAGGGATTCCCTTGTTTTCATTTGATTATTGTCAATTATATTAAAGTTATAATTATATATCCAATCACAAGGGATGTTTCACGACCTCTTGGCCAATCAAAATTCATGTTTCTTGTCACCTTGTAGCACTGCTTCACATTGATACTAAGTGTCTAGGCAATGGGAGTTTGTTATGATGTTTGTTGGCAAAGATGAAAAGAGGTTCTGTATATGCTCCGTACAAGGATACGACTTTGTCTAAGGTATGCATGGCCACATACGAGACTTAATGAAGCTTTCGTACCAACGCCCAAAATGTAATGGAAAATATAGAGTATTGTCCTAATCCAATTATGGATGTAGGTTTGGTTGTATTCATAAGGTAATTTACTTAATTGAAATATGTGATTTAATAAAGGGTAGAAAAATCTATAGACTTGCTTATGTGATCATGAATATGGATGCAGCTTGATTAATCCTTGGAAATCTAAGTTTGGTAGGATGTTCACACAAACAAACCAGGAACTTCAAACAAAAGCAAGTGATGTTGAGTTTATAGAAAAAATGTCATAGCTTTATGTATCAGTATTAATGAGGCGATGTTGATTTCTACTTCGTTTGTGTCTTATGTATCAGTATTAATGAAGCGATGTTTATTTCTACTGTGTTTGTGTCTTAAAGTGCACATCATTATGATGTATACCAATAACATCCTGACTTTATGTCAACATCTCTGAAATCTTGATTGACAGGGAGTGTTTTAAATCTGCAATTGATTTCAGTATCTCGACACAGAGACTTCGTGATATATATAGATCTTACATGTGTTTCAATGTGATATATGATTTAGGAAATAAGTTTTTTTCATTTTAGGAAGTTTTTAGCAAGTTTAAATGAAAACTTATGTCAAGTTTCAGAAATCTAAAATCAATTGAAAACAAATTTTGTAAGATCCATCTAATAAAATGATCAAACATTCAAACAAATATTTAAATGCCAAATTTAAAGTCATTTTTGTGCTATATTTAAGGTTTACAGTGTTACAGCACAAGGCAGTCTTTGAGATTATGACATCATTTTATTATCTAAATGTGATGTCACAATAGCTTTTTTAACATGACTGATAAAATCCCTCTTCTGTGATTGGCTAAGAGGTCACCTACAGGTTTCAACAAAATGTGACATTAACCTGAAATTGGCAAATACCAGAGCGATTATCATCACAATTTGATAATATAACCTAGTCTAAAAATAGTCACAGGGAATTACCATGACAAGAGATGATCATTGTAAAATATCACATGTTTACTATTCACAGTGGTAACACATTCACCTTTCACCTAGACATCTGGGTTATAATTCCCAGTACACACAGGAAGAGGTATATGGTTACCTACTGACCATATGGGTTTTTCCCCTGGGTACTCCGGTTTCCTCCCACTGTAAAACCTCTCGCACGCTTCTATCACAGTCAACAACAGTGATTGATATAAGCTTGTTTTGCAGTTGTTGTAAAATAAATAAAGTTGTGTTTATATAGCAATCGTCTGTGAAGTAACACCCATTGTATAAACTTTAGATATGACAACTTTTGTTGTAATATGTAGCAGAGCTTTGTTGATCGGTTGAAGGTTCTTTTCTAAAGGTTATTTTAACTATGATGTCATAACTCCATGTCGTCATGTGCATCGTGACGTCAGCAAAGAACAAGACATAAAATGAAAATATTGTCAATTCACAACTTATATCAGTCAAATCAGATCATGGTGTTCTAAAATAATTGGAAAAAGTATTTATTAGTAATGCAATAAACAGATTCTAACATTTTTTTCCCATGCTGTATGAAATTTATGAAATTTGTCATGAATTTTTCCTATGAAATGGAAACTCATTCAAGATCCTCTGTATGTTTACTAAAAATAGGGTCTTACATGAATGTGAGTGTGATATCATTACCAAAACCAAAGTTAGATAAATATTTTAGAAAAATGATGATTCAGTAAGTTTAAGATATTCTTTATTACATATCTTTCATTCAAAAGAAACTTTATTAAACAAAATCCTTTCTTTATAAAGAAAAATTTCACAAAGACCAGCCAATTTCCACTTTGTACAGTAAGTTTTTTCCTTGCCAAGACCATGGAGTGGTGTCTTGAATGTGATGTATCTTTGAACAGAACCACATAAATGGCTGACCTGTATTTGTGTTGGAAGCAAAACAGGCATTCTTGAATAGATTGGAAGGACTGACCTATGTCATTCAACATATATGTAAATTTTTGAATGAGTGACCCATGATGCGACCTATATGTAGATTTGTGTCTGCTAAGGAGCTGACTACATCTGTCACATGAAGTGTTTAAAACAACATGGGCATGAAACAGAGAATGTTAGTGATCTGACCCTGCTAATGTATAGGTGATTGATGTTAGTATCTGAGAACTGTAGACTAGATGGTCCTGTCATTATCTTCTTTACGTAGGTTATTGATGGATCGTTTCATGAATATTCTTTTCTAAGGACGTGTAAACAACTACTGTGTTATATACTGAGAAACCATATATTTTTGTGGGACTCAAATTTGTGGTTTGCAAAAAATATATTTTTATTGGCACTAGATTTCATATTAATTCTTCCCAACAAATCCACTAGTTCTCTTATCATGTTAACGTTTATCTGTTCATCATTTCATGGACAAATAAATTTATGGATTTACAGTACTTAAATTCAACAGGAAAAAAATCTTTCACAAAAATTTATGATTTTGCAGTAATGCTGGTTATTATTATTTTTTTATTAGTATTAATTTTTAAAGATGACTAAACATGAAGAAACATCATCAGCTCCAGTGTTTGAAGAATAGAAATCTTATGTCATAAGCTCCATTTTCTGATTTTCTGTAAAAAATCTCTTGTGCTACAACCTATCCTACGTGCTACCCTGAGACAGGGCCTCCACTCTATGTGAGCAGGGCAGTTGTTCTTACCCATAGTTGTGTTAAAAAAATCACATCCACACAATGCACAGCCACCAGACATTGTTAAAACTACTTCTCCTGCACAGAAAGTCTGATCTTAACAAGACATCTGCAAGTGGGTATGATCACATATGTAATTCTTGGCCACCAGGCTGTTATTATGTCGTCTGAACAGAAAGACATTCTATCATAGAATTTTAACTAAATAGTTCTATTGTGGTCTACAGATGGCCGTACTCAAATTCTGATCTTTGCAACATTCAAGATGGCCATCATCGCAGCAATATTTGAAACAATCACTTCTTAAACAAAAGAAAGACTCTGGTAGCATCCTGATGATGTCATGACCAATAGTTGACAAGACAAGTTTCCAAAGAACATTTCAACAAAGACTTTTCAGATTTCATTATATAGCGGTTCTGAAACTGATTGACATCAACAATGTTCTTAATGAATAATTTAAATCACATTGACTATGAAATATTTCTCATATTAAAGAATGATACGGTGTATGTAACAAATATCACTAGGATTTGGTGGTAAACCACATAATCTTACCCAGAATGACCTGGTTGATAAAGATACAAATAAACTCAGATCTGCCATTGTATGCCATAATGTTAAACTTTCAACCATTATTTTACAGTACGCTTGTTCAAGATTTGTCTCTGTATTTCACATTTTAACTTACCTTTATTCCTAGATTTTGGTTTGTAAACGTCTTTCTTTTACTGAAAGTTTTCCATGTTAGACTGTGTGGTAAATGGCATTATACTGAAATCAGACCAATTTTGATTCCCTAACATTATATGTTTGACCACAATATTTCTGATGCTCTGAATTTGTAATGTAGGTGATAAATGAACAGATTGTTGGCACTTTTCTAGATGAAAATGTGTTTTTTATTGAAACAATGTTTCTGGTTGGCATGACACTGATAGCAGTATTTATTAATGAGCACACATACAACATACCCCTGGGTTCTGTAAATATAAATATACAGAGCATTTAACACCAAATCACCTGTATAGTAAAGTGTCAATCATCCCCAGATCACTGATTGTGTCCCTCTACAGTATGTTGTCAGTTGTCCCCAGATCACTGATTGTGTCCCTCTACAGTAGGTTGTCCATCATCCCCAGATCACTGATTGTGTCCCTCTACAGTTGGTTGCCCATCGTCCCCAGATCACTGATTGTGTCCCTCTACAGTAGGTTGTCCATCGTCCCCAGATCACTGATTGTGTCCCTCTACAGTAGGTTGCCCATGGTCCCCAGATCACTGATTGTGTTCCTCTACAGTAGGTTGTTAGTCGTGGCCCCCTGATCACTGATTGTGTTCCTCTACAGTAGGTTGTTAGTCGTGGCCCCCTGATCACTGATTGATGAATTGATTTATAAATATAACAGGATAAAAACTGAAGTATAGATTGGTTTGTGTTTTATTAGGACAGGTCAGCAGATCGAGGTCCAATTTCTATGGAACAGGTTTGTGTACCAGTATTAATATCAATAGTGTGGTCTCATTAACAGCTCTGGGACAGATATTTAACTGACAACATTTTAACTTTGTAGTGATAAACTTCCTCCTAGTTCAGTGTGTCTGCTTAACTTCATTTCGTTACCTAATTTGTCTGTCTATCCCCTTTCTCCTTTTCTACTTTGTTTGTCTGTCTATCCCCTTCCTCCTTTTCTACTTCGTCTGTCTATCCCCTTCCTCATTCTCTGCTTTGTCTGTCTATCACCTTCCTCCTTTTCTACTTTGTCTGTCTATCACCTTCCTCCTTTTCTACTTTGTCTGTCTATCACCTTTCTCCTTTTCTACTTTGTCTATCACCTTTCTCCTTTTCTACTTTGTCTGTCTATCCCCTTCCTCCTACTCTGCTTTGTCTGTCTATCACCTTCCTCCTTTTCTACTTTGTCTGTCTATCCCCTTCCTCCTACTCTGCTTTGTCAGTCTATCACCTTTCTCCTTTTCTACTTTGTCTGTCTATCCCCTTCCTCCTTCTCTGCTTTGTCTGTCTATTGCCTTCTTCCTTTTCTACTGTGTCTTTCTATCCCACTTCTTCCTTCCCTATTTTGTCTTTTTATCCCACTTCTTCCTTCCCTACTTTGTCTGTCTCTTTATCTCCCTCCCTCATCCTCCTCCCTAATAGCCCATTACCATCACGCTACAATTGTTTACTCACTAACCCCCTCTCCCCCCCCCCCCCCCTGTCCTCATCCCTTTCTTTATCTTCCTCTTCTATCCCAATCACCCCATTGGTCTGTAGTATCTCTTGACATGGTTAGTCTGGGAATTCTCTGGACCTAAGGTCTATTGGCCGACAGTTTTTACCTGGCACAGTCAACCTGGGAATTCTCATAGCCTGAGATCTATTGGCCGACAGCTTTACTTGACACAGTCAGCTTGGGAATTCTCTGGACCTAAGGTCTATTGGCCCACAGCCTTAACAATTATGGTCAGTCCGGGAATTCTCTTGACCTTAGGACTGTTGACCAATATTCATGACTAAGGAACTCTAGCCTTCACATACTTTCATTATATAAATTCTGTTTTCATTCTCTTGTTCATTACTAAGGCTTCAGATTTCAATTTTGTCTAATTTGATAAACATACTTATCAAGTTTATAGTTTTTGATCTTGATGAGTTTAATTGCATTAATTCTTATACTGAAAGTTAAAACATTGTCTCTCGGGCTTTCCTTGACTTTGTGTGATTCTGTATAATTAACTCTTTCAAGGTCCTATAATCTATTCTGATATTCAATTTTGTGCTGAATTCCCTGATCTTCCATAGTTTCCATGCTAACAGATGACAAAACTTATCAATTTAGAAGTGCATCTAGCCACATATCTCCCTGGGGAGGATATTTCTGCTGATTTGTAGATCATTAATATGAAATCCGTAAAAGTTAATTCTCAAAAGTAATGAAGTATACAAATGAGCTGTCTTATTCTGAAATAAAGAGCTTGTATTGACAAGCTAAGCTGAGTAGTAGAAGTGTTGCGTGATTTGAAAAATATGTAGTTCTGTAGACATCTAATGCATCTTTCCTGTAGCTGACAGTTTGGGAAGATTGGCTGTGACATCCATGTTAATTTTCCCACTCTCCGGTATTATCTAATACTCTTGAGCTTCATGTAAGGGAAAGAAATTTTAAATGCCTTCAACACGCATCAAGTCAGACTTCGACTTTCGTTACGTTACAGGACAACCTATCTGTGGGAAGGCGTGACAAACAGTTTCTCATAATTAAGTGTTGACTTTCTATTACAGTTCTGTTATGAATTAACCAAGTTCTCTGTGATATCAAATTTGGGATTTTTTTGTCAATATAGGAAATGCAGTATTTTAGACTAATTGTCATCATTCATCAATTTCAACATAATTCAACCCTTGATTATATTTGTTTATGGTACAATCCATTAAATGCTCTGTTATTAACATGAGAAATCCATTCTTTAATTATCATGATGAAGGTCTAATATCAAATTTGCACAATGGAATCATGGTTTCTGTGAAAGGGTGCGGTTTTATCAATATTTCAATGGGAAAAGGATGTCTATTTCACAGATATTATTTTAACTGGAACATAATTCATTTCCAGTGTATCAATATTTTCCTGAAAATTGTGAAAATTGGAATCCTGAAAATTGTGAAAATTGTGAAAATTGGAATCCCTTGAAAATAACTTTAACACTATCTAGATATCCTTTCTTACATGATATTTCAAGCATCGAGATATCCAGTTATTTCTTCTAATTTGATATCTTGAATATTCCTCCTAATCTGAAACCTAAGGTATTCAGATATCCCTACTAATCTGACACTTGCAATATCTAGATATCTATTCTGGTTTTACACCTGAAAAATCCAGATCAACCTTCTTATCGGATGCCTGGAATTTCTAGATATAACTTCTAATCTGACATCAAAAATATCTAGATATCCCTTCTAATATGACAACTTGAGAATCCAGAGTTTTCCTGATACCTTTACTGATTTACACCCAGATATCCATTTTAACCAGACACCTGGAATAACCAGATATCCTTTCTTGTTTGACACCAGAAATATTCAGATATCCATTCTTGTTTGACACCAGAAATATTCAGATATCCATTCTTGTTTGACACCAGAAATATTCAGATATCCTTTCTTGTTTGACACCAGAAATATTCAGATATCCTTTCTTGTTTGACACCAGAAATATTCAGATATCCATTCTTGTTTGACACCAGAAATATTCAGATATCCATTCTTGTTTGACACCAGAAATATTCAGATATCCATTCTTGTTTGACACTTAAAATATTAAGATATACTGTTATATCCGACACCTTGAATTTCCAGATATCTCTTCTAATTTGACACCTTGTGTATACAGATGTTTCATTATGTTGTCACCCTAATATATTTCGCAGTAAATATATGGTCAGGTGTATTTTGAGAACAGCCCAGAATTCATTTTTTCAGATAAGTCTGTCTCGAACATACAACTATCAAAAATAATTTCCTAAGGATGACCACGTAATTAAACACAGAATGATCTGTCCTGCTTATAAACACTAAGTAATCAATTGTTCCATCAGATCTAACTAATGTGTGATGCACGATTTAGCCGCAAACTAACAATATAAAAACACGTTAATTTCCACTATCGTTGTATATAAAGCCAGTAATAAAATATGAGACAGGATTACCATTATTTTATGAATTTTTATACTGTTATTTTCCGTTATTGTGATAGTAGTAAATATAAAAACATGTTCTGTATTAGTACCCTGCACTAACCAATACTGCAAGAGTTAGTTCCCCTGTCGGTCAGAGCTGTATTGCCTTACCCTTGAATGGCCATAATGGTGGACGTAAAATCTTTTAGATGATGAATAACATGTATGCACATAACAAAATGGAGCCTGAGGTTGATGTCATTAAAGATATTGTGCTTCATATTTTCTTAGTCCTGAAAGCTTTGAAGCATATTTTCAGATTTTGACTTCATTTGAAACTCCTTTAACTCTATTGTATGTAAAACCAATGTTGTCTTTGTTTCAGTGCCCCATGCTAATCTGTACATGCTTGTAAACCCAATACGTCTCAATCTTGACTACCTGACACTTTTGTGGGTGAATTTCTTCATGCTGAACCTTTCTCAGTCAGTGGTAAGTTCATGTCTTATGTTAATCCTGTTTATGATTATGTTAATCCTGTTGATGACTTATGTTAATTTGCTGATGATTTCTGTTAATCCTATTTATCATTCATGTTAATCCTTTTATGATTTATGTTAATCCTGTTTATGATTATGTTAATCCTGTTGATGATTTCTGTTAATCCTATTTATCATTCATGTTAATCCTTTTATGATTTATGTTAATCCTGTTTATGATTATGTTAATCCTGTTGATGATTTCTGTTAATCCTATTTATCATTCATGTTAATCCTTTTATGATTTATGTTAATCCTGTTTATGATTATGTTAATCCTGTTTATGATTATGTTAATCCTGTTGATGACTTATGTTAATTTGCTGATGATTTCTGTTAATCCTATTTATCATTCATGTTAATCCTTTTATGATTTATGTTAATCCTGTTTATGATTATGTTAATCCTGTTGATGATTTCTGTTAATCCTATTTATCATTCATGTTAATCCTTTTATGATTTATGTTAATCCTGTTTATGATTATGTTAATCCTGTTTATGATTATGTTAATCCTGTTGATGACTTATGTTAATTTGCTGATGATTTCTGTTAATCCTATTTATCATTCATGTTAATCCTTTTATGATTTATGTTAATCCTGTTTATGATTTTTGTTAATCCTATTGATGATTTATCTTAATCCTCTTTATTATTTTACGAAAATTTGATTTAGAGATAGGACGAACCTGGTCAAATAGGTGAAATGGGGCAAATTCTTTAAAATATTTTTATTTATGTAGGAATGCCTGTATTCTGTCCAAATTGGTTCTGAGGCATCCTTGGGTGAAGGGGATCAATTTTATATGAACAATAGTGGAAATAGAGCAAATTCTTAAAAATCGTTCTTTTGATGGAAGGATTTAATTTTGTCAAGATTTGATCTGAAGCATCCTTGGTTGAAGTGAACTTAGTTTTGTATAAATTATGCATCTAACCCCCTTGGGCAGAAGAACTTGACCTAATATTTAGTTTAAATCAATCATTCAGCAAACTAAACCAGGTGAATGATAAAGGCCCTATGGACCTGTTGTTTACATTAATCTGTTTATTATTTATAGTAATGTGTTGATGATCTATTTGTTATTGTTGTTGTGATTTTCAGACACCTGAGATGTTAGATGACACACCAAAACAACACATTGACATCAAGATTGAAGCTCTTATGCCAAGGGTAAGTACATTTGTACTGCAAAATGCTTACATAGGCCACAACCTCTGTCTATAGCTTTCTTTCCTTGCTGTGCCTGTAGACTTCTACCTGATGGCTTTCTAATCAAATTGTGTTTTTACGAAAAGAAATTATCTCAACCTTTATTCAGGGTCAAAAGGATCAAATTTGTTGAAACCTGTAAAAGACTTCTTTTGGTAAACTAAAAATCAGAGAAGCAGAATATTTGGTTGAAATGTGTTTCTAGGTCAAAGCCCAACAAATTTCTAGAACAAAAGAATGACTTTACCTATAATCTAGGTGATAATTGCCACTGTTTAGAGCTGAGTAATTGAAGCTGTTTGTTATGGTAATTGGTTAAAATTGATTGGATGTGCCCACTTTAATTGCCAATGGTGTACATTTCAGTATATTTATGATATTAACACTGATCTATATTTGGTGAATATTGAATACCAGGTGAGCGATGCAGGCCATTTGGGTCACTTGTTAAGCTTTAGAGTCATTTAGGTAAGACAAATAATTCTGTGAAATTTTTATGTCGTAGGTGATTGTGTCAGCAGAAAGGAAGGTGGAAAACCAGCCTGATCGGCCAGAGGGAGTCCAACTGCAAGTGTCCAAACTCTGTGTCACTAATACCCACGTGGAGGAACAGACAGGGCGGGCAGACTTGGCAGAGGTGTTACGCCACTATACAGAAGGGCATCTGTTTACTTCCTCACAATACCCAAACAACAATAACCCTCTTACAAGCCTTCCCCCTCACTTCAGTACCTTTGCTAGTGGACGAGACAATGCTTATATGCAACGCTATGCCAAAGAGTTAGTAGCTGGTCAATTACCCCAGGGCATGGAGTCACAGGTAGGGCCAGAGGTTATTGCCAAACTCCTGAAAACCAACACACTGAAGCGTAATGCTAGCTTTGATGTGTGGAGTGTGTGTGCAGATCAGGCTTGGCTGGAGTTCGTGGGAGTGCCAGTCTCTAAGTCTCGTCCGATACCTTTCGTTGAATCTGTACCAGTGACTCTCTGGTTCTGTATGCCGTTAGTGATGGATGAAGCAGAAACAAAACTTAAGCAAAATAATCAACTTGATGTTTTGGGAATCAGTGGAAATAGCAGACGAGGGAGTAGCAATGCCGACTCCAATTCCCTGACCTTTGACACGGACCAAGGTAGCCCCGCATCACCACACAGAGACAGACCCTCACGAAGACTACTCAAAGAATATTATTCAACAGACAGTGAGTCCTATGACACCAGTCCCGAGGAATTACCTTCCTCATGTGATAAAACAATGAAATCTTCAAAAAGTGAAGATAAAGGCCAGAGTTTACAGCTGGCCACTTACAACCTTGTTGCAAAGGTTGGTGGTCCAGTGAAGGCCCAAATGAGTCACTCCCAGTTTCTTTTTCTTATGAGACTTTTAGAATCTTTTACAGACTTCCAAACTCAACTGACAGCGGATATAGAATATTTTCTGGGGACATCTACTGTACCCACCACGTTTTCTGTGCCACTTGTAGTTCCAGACATTGAGTTTGTTATGGTGTGCCCCTATGTGGCTGAGTTGCTTCCCTTTACACACAACATACCAACTAGTCCTTCAGGGGCTAGTCTACGGGATGGAGATCTGATCGAGGAGGAAGGTTTAAAAGAAGAAATTTCTCCACAAATTGACATTGACATTGGCCATGTAACAGAAGGTATGTAAAAGTGTTTGAGCTGTAATTAGAGGGCAATTAATCTTTCTTGTACACAAGACAGGGAAATCTCACATGTCACTCAGTGCTTGATTTTTCTTATTAATCTGATCTGTCTGGTACCCTTACCCAATAATTTTTTTTTCTTTTTCCTTTTGGTTTTAAGTGATGTCATTATCGAAATGATGCCAAATTCAATTGAATCTCTTCCGAAGAATTGTAAAGGGAGGTAATCTAATCAAATTGACAAATTAGAAAACAAACTAAATGAGAGGGTTTTTGATGCAATTTAGACAAAATTTTGTATGAGGAATAGAATTTGTTATTTGTATATGTTTGAGTCCTATTTGTCTCAATTTTAAGACGACGTTAACATAATATCTCACTGTTCACTCGGCCTCGATTTTGTTATAGAACATCAGCCTTTGACAGAGATAAGTCAAGCTGTAAGACATACAAGAAAGGGTTCTATTAGTGTTGCTGATGAATATTAAGTATGGGGGAGATATCTATGATAGTATAAATATATTATAGGTATTGTATTAAAATCTGTAAGACATTGAAAATTCATGCATACATCTGTAGCATAAACAAAAATTACGGGGACAATCTATGAAACTTCTAGTAAATGAATCAACCAGAATGATCTTGCTGTTATATTTATGGATTTAGGTCTGCAGAGTATATATGGAATTGGTCTTTAGTTTTTATCATCAGCATGTAACTTTTTAAATTTTGGTCAACTAGTAAAATCATACATGTGTTACCCTAGTTAAATTATATATGTGTCACCTTGGTAAAATTATGTATTTGTTACCTTGGTAAAATTATATATGTGTCACCTTGGTAAGATTATGTATTTGTCACCTTGGTAAAATTATATATGTGTCACCTTGGTAAAATTATGTATTTGTCACCCTGGTAAAATTATCTATGTGTTACCCTGGTTAAATCATATATGTGTTGTCCAGATAAAGTAATTTATTTGCCACTCTGATAGAATTATGTGTCACCCTGGTAAGATTATGTATTGTCCTGGCAAAATTTTATACGTGTTACCCTGGTAAAATTATATTTGTGTCACTCTGGTAGAATTATATATGGGTTGTCCAGATTAAGTTATATATGTGTCACCCTAGTAAAATGATGCATGTGTTACCCTGGTAAAATTGTATTTGAGTTACCCTGATGAAATATTAGTTACAAAATATCTTTTGTAATAGTAGGTTTCCTTCTACATGGTCTGTTGAAAGTAAGCTGAGTAAACAAGAGATCACGGGTTTAAATCCTAGCTTAGGCGTTGAAATTAATAATGACCTATGTTACTTATGGTTCAATATACATTGTTTATCATCTAATTGAGTGTAACATAATGTAAAGTGCAAAAGGGTAATTTCATTGATATATCATGTGTTATATAAATGTTGTGTATGATCATTATTTATTATTGATATTTAAGATGAGGATAGCAGAATCAACGATAATAATGTGGATTCCGGGTCACAGTGTTCCTCCCACACAGCCATCTCGAAGTCCCTCAGTGATTCCAGGATCCAGTGCCACGCGGGAGGGTCAGGAGAGGAAGATCTCTCAAACCCTGGAATGTTTGTATCCGCGCCCATATCTCACTCCAGTCAAGGGCTCGCCAACCCACACCACGATTCTTCATCTGGCTATGACTCCAGTCTTGGATCTCGTGGGTCAGGCTCGCAGCAAATGAAGAAATCCGCAAACAAGGCAGCCGATCAAGTAAAGAAGTCATTTTCGTCTGCACTGTCTGGTATTACAGGTCTCACTGACAAAATTAAGGCAAAAATGGACTCCAACGAAGAAATGGAGGATATTGATTCCATGAGTATTAAAACTGACTTGTCTGATGATGACTTGGACTCTGAAATGTTAAATTTAGAGGAAGCTGAGATGCCTGCGTTTCATCACCCCAATATAGGAGTATCAGAGACAGGCTCATCCACTGATACAGATCTACTGGACGACGTGTCCAGTCTTTATGCTGAGAGTTCAGCCGCAACCAAAGGCAGAGAATTGGTAAGTGAAGGAATGAATCATGATCATCATCATCATCATCATCATCATCATCATCATCATCATCATCATCATCATCATCATCATCATCATCATCAATTAATTCTCTTTAAGTTGATAGCCAGGAAGTCCCAAAAATAAATGTACAGCTACAAAATATCATTACATTCCATCAGAAATCATGTTTATTTATTATATTGATGAACTGAAAATTAACTGAAAGCAATTTTTCAGGTTTCAGTGATCGCATTTCGTATCCATGGTTCTGAGATACTGATGCAGAATGATGGCAGCGATACGGCCATTCGTATCCAGGCACGTCACCTCAGCACCAACCAACCTGGTAACATGTATTACGAGGACTTCTACAACAAATTTACCTCACCACAAGGTCAGTACAATTATTAATCTCCGTCTCACCTGAACATCAGGTCAGTACAACTGTTTATCTCCCTAACACCAGGTCAGTACAACTGTTTATCTCCCTAACACCAGGTCAGTACAACTGTTTATCTCCCTTACACCAGGCCAGTAAACACCAGGCTGTTTCTCTCACCAAACACC